GAGGGAGTAGAGAAGTGTTGTTTTTTTCTTTCTTTCTTTCTTTCTTTCTTTCTTTTTTTCTCTCTTTCTTTCTCTATTTCTTTCTCTCTCTTTCTTTCTTTCTTTCTTTCTTTACCTATTTGTTCATTTGTTTGTATCTCTTTTGCTGTTTATTAATCTATTTATCTTTATTTCTTGTCTCCACCTCACTACAACAGATTCAGCGCTACAACACCTTACTGGGGGGGAGTAGAGAAGTGTTGTTTCTTTCTTTCTTTTTTTCTTTCTTTCTTCTTTCTTTCTTTCTTTCTCTCTTTCTTTCTCTCTTTCTCTCTTTCTTTCTCTCTCTTTCTTTCTTTCTTTCTTTCTCTCTTATTTTGTCTCTCTCTCTTTCTTTCTTTCTTTCTTTCTTTACCTATTTATTCATTTTTTGGTATATATTTTGTTGTTTATTCATTTATCCATCTATTTATCTTCTCCACCTCACTACAATAGATTCAGCGCTACAACGCGCTACTGGATGAGATGAGAGCTTCCCTGATGTTGTTGGAGAAGGGTATCCAGGGTCTGGTGGTCATGACCCTTGACCTCGAGAACATCTTCCTGTGTATCTTTGACGGACGGGTGCCACCCACTTGGGAGAAGGTATGTGTGGGTGTCTATGTGTGTGTGTGTGTGTGGATGTGTGTGTGCGCGCGCGTGTGTGTGGATGTGTGTGTGTGTGTATGTGTGGGTGTGGGTGTGTGTGTGGATGTGAGTGTGTGTATGTGTGTGTGTCTTTGACGGACGGGTGCCACCCACTTGGGAGAAGGTATGTGTGGGTGTTTGTGTGTGTGTGTGCGTGTGTGTGTTTGTGTCTGTGTGTGTGTGTGTGTGTGAGAGAGAGAGAGAGAGAGAGAGAGTGTTGTGTGTGTGTGTGTTGTGTTGTGTATTTGTGTGCTTCTGTGAGTTTGTATGTGAATGTCTGTGTGTGTGTGTATGTGTATTTGTTTGTGTTTTGTTTTAATTTATGTTAGTGCCTGAGTATGTTGAAGTCCTAAACTTGTGTACGATGCAAACTGTAATCAATTTCAAGACTCCTTCTTCCCTAGACATTGTTCCAATGTTTGATAGAAGGTATTGCCTTCTCTCTGATCTGATTCTCTATACATCATCTCGTACATCTTTATCTCCGATGGGGTAAACCCACTTTGCCGGGCCCCGTTTTGGTAGTAAATCTAAAAATGAAAAAATCGTCACTAAATTGATGATTAAATCAAAATAAGTGAACCTATTTCGATAATTCTGCATTTAATGAATGAAATGCTGATAAAAGAGATCTGTTTTCGGCAATTTCCGGAAAATAATTTATGTCGAAGTCGTCGTAAAGGAATGTGCCCAAGCTGCTGTCAGCAGCTCACCGGCACGGTGGTTCCGACAGCGAGCCACTGGGAGCAGCCTGCCGGAGATAAAGAGTTAAACTATCCTTTTTCATAAGTAGTTGGAGGGGGCCTTTAGTACGTTCTGCTCCTTTTTCTTCCTCCTTTTCCTCTATTGTTTCTGTGTAGTTGTCTAGCTTTTCTTTCTGCTCTAACTAAATGACTGTTATTGTGGCGATGTACTTCTCTTTGACCCCCGATATCTGGGTTAGCCGGCTTGTCCGTAAAAGCCGCCAAATATGACCTTATTGTGTTGCAAGTGCCGTAAAACTCTTCTTACTACAAAAAGAACTACTTTCCTTGTTCCTTCTGTCCATCTAGGCGTACCCATCTATGAAGCCACTGGCGGCGTGGACGCGTGACCTGGTACAGCGTGTGGAGCAGTTCTCCAAGTGGGCCACCCTGGCACGTCCACCGTGGGTCTTCTGGATGTCGGCCTTCACTTTCCCGACGGGCTTCCTCACTGCCGTGCTGCAGACAGCGGCCCGACAGAACCAGGTGAGGACAGGATGAAGAATCTCCAACTGCCGGGGCGGTGCTACTAACTGAAGTGTCTTTAGGCCATTCCCAAAGAGGGGGGTGGGGGGGGGGACATTAACATCTCGAGTTCTTATGCACAGTAGAATTGTAATTGTAAATGGGCTGATTTATCAATGTCATGCTCTTAACTGTGCTGCTGAACTGCAACAGGGAACTGCTGCTTTTTCTTTCCTAATCCAAAACTTTGTGCTATTTTGTATGATGTAACAATGGATATATATTTTTCCCACACATTTCTCTTCCCCAGCTGTCCGTTGACTCTCTGTCCTGGGAGTTCATTGTCCAGACCGTGGATGACAGTAACTTGACCGGCCCTGCTAAGGTATGTGTGCTTGCTACCAACTCTTTTCCCTTATCTCTCCTCCTTCTTTTTATGTGTTTGTTACTCTCTTGTAATACA